TCTGGACATACACATTCCAGGTATTTGGAGAACAGCCTCAGGGAAAGGCTTTCTCTGGAATCAGATATCTCCCTTGGCCACTTTCAAGGACCAGCAGTAATAACAGTCCACATGCAAGTCTTCTGAATTAAGATAAATTCCACAAGGAGACACCGCCTAGGTCAGGTGGACATTAGGTAATAGCTTTACACAATTCAGTTCGGACCCTCCTTTCTTACAGCCTTACTAACTTTATAGACCGCTGACTCCTTACCTAACCACTTCTAGGAATATTTAGATAACCTTCTGCACTGACAGCTATGCTCAGCCAGAACTCCAGTTCAAGCCTCCCTGTAATTATCATTAGCAGCATCCGGCCAGGTCCATCCCCAGATGAAGGAAAGTATTTTATCAGAGATACCTCTGTACTCTCTCAGAACAGACTTAAACATCCAGGCTACCTGTTTGAGAAGGTTTGGCAGATGTGCCAATTAAGCCTTACTTCCTCCTTTCCTAAACCTTACCTCCAGTTCCAGATCCTTTAACTATCACCAGAGGCATCTAGCTGTACACAGGTTGCCTAGTGACTGAGCACACTTTCCCCCACCCTGCAGAAAAAAACGGCAAATAGCTTGGACAGATAGGAGCCACAGGAAAAAAAGAAGACAGTTTTATTTTCTCCCATTGACCTAGCAACTTATAGATTCTTAACATTTTCTACCAATCACGTTTAAGATTATAGTTGAGCATATAAGAGCCTTCTTCTTAGATATTACCTGAATTTAGCCTTTAGTTAATTCATTTCCCCATTGGTCACTTCACTTTGGGGTTGCAAATGATAATTAACTGTTATGACCTCCTTATGTGATTCTTATCACTCCTCCGTTTGACCCTGGAAGCCTGGCTTTGCACTGCTAAGGGAATACTGCTTGTAAGTGTATATATACCAGGACTTCCAGGGCACGAGAGGACAGAGAAGAGAAAAGAGAATGGAAGAACTAGATGGGTAAGAACTTGAGAGGAACAAACTGAGATGGGGAAGAACTAGATTGAAGGGCTAGAAGAGAGGACTAGAGGAACGAGATGGAAGATGAGGAAGAGCCAGATGGGGGAGAACAAGATGAGGAAGAACAAGACGAGAGAGAAGGAAATGGGAGAGGAGCTGATGGGGGAAAGAACTAGATGGATGAGAACCTAGAAGGGACAGAACTAGATGAAAGAATCAAGGTAGAACCTAGAGGGGACAGTAGATAAATATAGAGAGAAATTAGGCAAGAAAGGAGCTAGGCATGAGAGCAGAATAGAAGCTGTGTGGAGTCTATTAAACTATCACAGAATAATAAAGTGTATGAACTAAGGAGTCTCATGTACATAGATTCATTTTTTTTCATCAAAGACTAATTATCAGCTGGTTGTAGATTCTTCCCGGACCCTGGGAGGGGACTATCGAGGGGCTGGACCCCCATAGTTCCCGAAACCTGTGTGGATGTGCCTGTGGAGGGGGTGTGTTTGTGTGCATATGTGTATGTGTGTGCCTATGTGGGTGCAACTGTGTGTAAGTGTGTATATGCGTGTTTGTCTGTTTATTTGTGTGTGTAGATGTGTACAAGCATGTGGGGAGGGTGCCTGTGTGGAGAGGTGTGTATGTTTGTATGTATGTGTTTGTGCGTGTGTGTCTATGGGTGTATGTTTCAGAACCATCAACATGATGAATGTTGGACAACCCTGGACACTCTGATTTCCCTTTTTTCTTTTTTCTTTCTTTTTTTTTTTTTGTTTGTTTGTTTGTTTTTTCGAGACAGGGTTTCTCTGTGTAGCTTTGCGCCTTTCCTAGATCTCACTCTGTAGACCAGGCTGGCCTCGAACTTACAGAGATCCGCCTGGCTCTGCCTCCCGAGTGCTGGGATTAAAGGCGTGCGCCACCACCACCTGACTTTTCTAGTTTTCTTAATAAGCTGTAGTTCAGGAGGATCTTCGTGGGTACAAGGTGGAATGTGTCTCTGTTGCTCAGGGATGAGTAGGAATCTCACCAAGAAGTCCTCCTATAAGGCTAAAGAAACACTAGGGGCAGCATCACCATCATCCATCCATTGTTCAATCCAAATATCTCTACATCAATAGGTCTCATCTCTGCTCAACACAGATTAATCCCACTGATTCTGTCTCTGCAGCGTCTCCCCCAAAGCTCCCCACAGCATCTCTACCAGCAGCTACCGACCAACCTGTCATTTTTTAAACAAATCATGTGGTATTTTTTCCAAGATAAAACCCTCTTGATTTTTCGTGACATTTTGATTAAAGCCCTCTCCTGTGATGATGGCTGCAAGGTGCTAGCTCCCCAGAGTCCTGCATACCTTTTCAACGTCAGTTCTCATGACCATCACACTCCAGCTCTGATGGCTTCTTTTACTTCCTAATAGCTCTCCCTTCAGCCTAGGGAGCTTTTCTATGGAGTTCTGCAGGCTAGCCCCTCATCGTTATCAGGGGCATCACCCCCTAAGACTACTTCCTGTGTGTGTGTGTGTGTGTGTGTGTGTGTGTGTGTGTGTGTGTGTGCCCTCAATGTCCGAAATAATGCCACTTATGCCTCTACTTCTTATTTTAACCCCATCATCCATGAATGAAATGGAAGTTCTCTAAGAACAGAGGTCATGCCAAAAGCCTGCATGGCCCAGAAGGGCACCTGAAATTGTAGGTGCTGAATAAATGTTTTTGAATGAGAGAAAATAATAAGTAGCCGAGGCAAAGCTCAAACCCCGTTCCAAGTAAGCTCATCATGGGGAACAATTTGTCCATTCTATATTCCTTGGAACGATATAAAATGTCTAAATACATCATCCCATTCTTAATGCTAATGTCATATTTGATGTGGTGGTAGGAAAGTGGGAAACTGATCATTATTTCATGCCTGTAGAATTTAGCCTCAAATGGTTGGATATAAACTATCAAAACATTCTTTAAAATGATACAGATAAGAATCAAGAGTCTCAGCACGATTTCATGTGTTTTGTAATAAACACTCTTCTGACTGAATTGTCCCAGGACCTGGCTATCATCATCAGGAAACCACAAATCAGGGTGGAGGTGCTGTAATAATTATGACATCATGACTTCATGGTCTTGGAAACTACTCCTCTGTATTGACCCCTCCCACCAAGCAGATATTCTTTACAGGATCCCTCTAATTTATCATGTGATAGGAAGCAAGAAGCAAGGAGGGAGAAAGAAGAGGCACTGTGAAGAATTAGGCAAAAGGAAAAAATAGCTACAGAAGTGAGAATTTGCTCAGGATAGTTTCCAGTTTATGAACTGCTATCTGGTCTATGTAACACTTGTTACTGATAGGGTGTGAATATAATTGTGTGGAATCATGGAAAGCATTGATGAACAGATTTGTTTAAAATGAGCAAAGACACCTAAAATCCATGCAGGGGGAATAAAGAAGAATGGTAAATGAAGGGAAAGCAGTGTGTGTGGGGGGGGTGTTGAGTGGGAGCAGAAGCCGTGAAGAGAGCATGTGAACAAGCCAGTCAGCTGAGGGTTCCAGCCAACGGTGCAGAAGAGGCACGTGACCCCAGGTCCCCCCTCCCCCCATGTGTGGGTGCCGACAGAGAAACAGGAAACAGCCCATCTTCAGTGTTGTCTTGAAGCTTTCTATCAATCTGCACACCAGAAAGAAAGCAGAAAGAAAGGAAAAAGTACTCCATTTTTAAATTCTTAATCAAAAGCCCAAAGTTTCAGTTCCTTTAGAGAACCTGAGAAAATATTATAATTGGAATTCAAAGGAGTCTATTTTATGTTCAGTAACAAAATAAACTTATAACATGGGCTATGAAAGGTTGTTCCAAATGAGCTAGTCTGGAATTAACAAATGCCAATCTGTCAGTGAGTGAGGCGCTCATAAGGTCAATGACGGAGCTAAGAGCAGCAGCGAGGAGATGGAGAAGCAGTTACCTTACCTGGACTGAGCAGCCTGTGGCTGACTGACCAACGGGCAAGCTGAAGCCACTCTCCAGGAAGAACTTTGCTGCACGGTCCTTTCATTCACTCGGAGTTCCCAACAGACATCACCACACACACATCCTTTCTCCAACCTTCAGCCCCTCTTCTAAGGCGCTGTGGCTGCTAACCGGGAAGGAGCCACCCATCTGAGAGAGGTCCAAAGTGATGATTGTTAACATCCAACCCAGCTTCCCGGTGATAAAGGCAGGAAACTACCCTTTGCTTTGAAATATTAAAACCAGGGATCGAGACTTGTGTGCTTATAGAACACACACGCCCATCTCCTTCCATTTCATCCTCAACAGCCCTTTAAGATGGGCACAGTGACTATTATCTTCTGTCATACAAATTATTATTAAAAAGTAGTGTATCCTGTCTCCATCTTTTCCCCACTGTGGCCAACTTTACATTGTCACTGTGGTCCAGGTTGTGGGGAGGGGTAGTTGTTGTATAGAGGTGAGGTGTTAGTTGGACATGTTAAGGTAGTGAAATTTAGCCATGAAAGACAAAAGAATTACAGGTAAAAATACTAATACTCTTAGAGAAATACTTGCCAGAGTAAATCCAAAGGACTCAGATGAAGGGAAAAATAGAAGTATCAATATCCAAGACTGTCCATAAGCACCCCCCCAAAAAATGAAATTTATGCTGTAGTGGTAAAGAGCAGCTGTCAGACATGTGATAAGATGTCTACATGTTTCTGATAGAGTGACTGATCAGTTAAATGTGCAGAGGGCATTTTCATAGGGTTGAGGAGATGCTGGAGAGAAGTGATAAGTCCAATGGCAAATACATGATGCCAGAAATAGCATTAAAATAGCTGGTACAGAAGATGATTAGACAAAAGAATAGCTGTAGAGTTGTTTTTAGAAATTCCAACTGAGGGGTCCTGCTTTCCTCTCTACTTTCCACGACGGACTCCAGATTTTCCAGTAACAATCTTAACACATCTAGACTCACTAATGGACCCCTTTTCTTCCTCTGTCTTGCTTCTTCCTCCTGTTTGTCTGATACAAAGGGGTGGTTGGGAGTGGGAAAGAGGAAAAGAATGTCAGGGTCAAGAATGGCGGTGTCTGTGCAGCATCAGGAGGGTGGGTCAAACGTGGCCTGAGAGCCACACACTTCAGGCCTCCTCCTGTGCCCTTTACAGACAGAGGGGGAAAGGAAGTATGCAGATGCCCACGAACCCATTAGCACTTCATCTAGGCTGCTCTGGGCGCCTGCCCTTTCACCTCTCCTGAGCACTTCAGTTCCTAATCTGAGCCCCTGCCTCCCCATTTAATCTGCCTTCATCTAGGTCTTGTCCTGGTTCTAGCAGGAAGTGCTATAGATGTTTCAACAACCCTGGTTGTGCCTTGACACCTTTTTCCTGCCTGTTTCTGGGTGGTTTTGTATCGTGCACTCCTGAGCACATACTTATAGACCTGAGAGAGAAATAGAGAGAGGGAGAGGGGAAAGAAGGGGAGGGGAGGAGAGGAGAAGGGAGGGGCAGGGAGGGGAGGAGAGGAGAAGGGAGAAGGGAGAAGGGGATGGGAGCCGAGG